TATATATATATATTCATTTTGTCTTGTTTTAAGTGTAATTTTGTGGGGTTAGTTATTGACAATATCTTACTTGAGCATTCAGATCCTAGTTTGGATATCACACAGTAGTTGTCATTGAGAATCAAGCTAAAAGTTACAAAGTCAAACTACAAACAACTTAACCTAAAACCTCCTTGGACATTAACCAGCTTCTATCTGTGTTGGTTATGCTGAATGAAGAAGCTAACATCATACCAGTTACCATACCAGTTATAAGTACCAATACCAGCTATTCTCAGATAAGCTATCATTTACAGTGAGGTCGAAAGCTACTTAAATTGATGCTAAAAACTACTCAAAATAACAGCTGCTCAGAACTGAGCTAACAGCTAGTTGGATTATGGATAACTAGAACTTGGCATTCAGCTAGCAGCTACTCAGAATTGAGCTGAAGGTTCCACAAAGTAACAACTACTCAAATTAAGTTTAAAATCTAGCCAGAGATAAGATAACAGCTACTAAAGCTAACAACTTCTCAGAGTTAAGCTCATAGCAGCACACAGTGTGAAGTTGAGCTAACACAAGACATTATGTGAAGTTGGATCTACACCTGAAGGCGGTCCATGAATGGTTTGGTACAGGTCAGTTGCATGAACCACTTTTACAATAGAAACAGACAAAATATTGCACCTACTAATTTTATACCTCTCAGTGGAACAAGGAATTGTTAATGTTGCTATGCTAACCAAAGCAAACAAAATCCTCCTGCTAGTGTAATTGTTAGTTGTGTAAAGTGCACACACATTAAATTAGTTATGGTGGCCCTGTATAAATAATTTAACTAATAAGCTGATACTACTAGAAGCTATTGTGTTTAAAAATCTGTAGTACATTATAATATGCCCATATAAGTGTTGGCAACCTCAGGGCTACAGTTAGTGAAGGGGCATGGATGTTGTTTAGTTGACAGTGTAGGTTTTGTGCTGTTTGGTGGGTTTGCAGTTTGTTACTTCTGAGCCCGCAGAAAATTTCCAATATTGTTTAGAGTTTCAGGGTATGTTTACAGTAAAACACTTCCCCAGCCCACCCGGGATGCTGAGGCCTTCCTTTTCCCCAAAGACTGAAGGATTTGCATTTTTACTTGCTAATATATTTATATTCTCAGTGTTTTGGTTAAACTGTCTGATGTTGGTTGCTCACAGATGCAGACTCTCCCACTGGAGCTGTTTTATCCTAGAGCTCATTAGGTTTGCCAGTTTATTTCAGTCATGCAGGTGTTCATTTCCCATTTATATCTTCATTTTAATCTGGATGCTTTCCAGTATTCTGTGTTAAATTTCAGGAGCTTTATTGGACAGCTAGAGTATAACATATTGTAAAGTATCGTCACTTATTACCAGGACAAACAATATGTATTTATTTTTAATTCTCTTGTCACTTTTACAAACACTGTCTGCAAGGATATGCATAGTTTTTCACTCCCAGATTTTTCATTTTTGCTTTATTTGTGCTTATTTCATAATGACAATGTGCAATATGTCAGTATAGAAGCTTTGACTTGAGGTTACATTATACAAATGTAGAACCTGGAAAGACATGATACTTTTCATAATGACCTGGCATGTAAAAGCCTCCCAAATTTTGAAAGGGTGTACTTTCTTTTCACTATTACTGAACAAAAATTACTTTAATTCAAATATCTGATCTGTCATAACAAAAAAATCTGTGATTTGAACACTGTTACGTCCACCAAGGGCACAACATACTTGAGGACACGAGACAAAAGATGAGGGTTCAACAAAATATTTTATTCATAAATTCTCTTCACTTTGTTTTTCTTAATTCAGGTTCTTCTGCTTTTCTGTGAAGAAAATAATATTCAAACCCTCAAATCCCGTGTTCCAAAGAAAAATAAAGAAAACAAAACCCCGAAAGTAGTAACAGAAAGGTGGACCTAGTGAGCCGATCAAACATAACAAAACGGTACAGCAGGGGGCCAACCCTATACAGGGCCGTCGAAGCCCCTACTCGTACCGGACTAAAACAAAAATAACCTAATGCAAAAGAAAGATCGAAAACAGGACAACCGGTCCCACCAGGCCAAAATCACAACGAAAAAACAAACAAACAAACAAAGGTTAACAAAGATACCGCATGGCAGGCTGGAACCCTCAGCTGCGGCCCACAGCAGCTGGTGGTGGTGGTGGAGCGAGCGGGAGCGAGCGGAAGCAAGCAGAGAGGCGGAGCCCAGGCGGGAATGGAGGGGAAGCTCCCTACATGCCGAAAGCCAGCCTATTTATAGGCGGACCAACAGCACCACAAATTAACGTAATTAAATATCCAAAAAGAAATTATCCAAACTCCAAATTATATTTACAAAATGTCATTTAATCAAGGTCTATAAGAAAACAAAAGTAGACAAAAATCATAATGTGCCCGAAGCACATAACAAACACCTTAAAGCAGAATGAGGCACAATTTAGACTTTAAAACCATGACAGTCTCAATGATGAGGAACATCATTCGTTGCTTCCTGTCAAATAATGAACTTTTTCAATACTCAGGTAAAGTTGGGTGCTAAAACTATAGAAAAAAATAATGCAAATACCAACAATATAGTTAGTTTGTTGATACTGGTTATACCAGTAGTCATTGTGCAGTCTCACTTGCAGAAAATCACTGTTCGCATTCAACATTTTTCATTGTTTGTGCTTTCTTTAAGTGTCATTTTTGTATATTTGGACCTGTCTCATTCACAAATGACCATGAAAGAGAAATAAAACTAATTTACTGCAGATTTTTTTGTGTATTTTGAGATACAAAACAGAGTGCCACATATTATTTGTAGGATCCATAAAAAAAGAACAAGCATCTTCATTTGTAATTATTCAGAACGTAGTGTCTTTGCTTCCTTCACCATCTCACTTTCTGGTTTTACTGGTCTTTTTAATTATCTTGGCATAAAATAGCAACAATAAAGTCCTATTCAAGTGGCAAGATCAGCCTCTAAAATATGGCACCCAATCATCCGCCTTCACATCAACTGTTCAGAGCTTTATTGTCTTTAAAACACAAAAAAGGGCCCAATACAGCACAACACCAACATGATAATTTCCAGCAGAGAAAAAAGTAACAAAGAAACTTTGTCCAGATAAGGATACAGTTTTTAATTTGAGTCCTCAGCAGATCGGCAACACCCTTCATTAACCTGCCTCGACCTGCTCATTAATTCACATTCCTGCTCTAATTGGGCAGCGGTGTGTGTAATGTTCCTTCGTTCTCTTGCTGTACTTGTGGAAAAGAAAAGACGCCATGACATTGGCAGGACTGTCATGCAGCCTCAACTCAGTCTTCGTCAGCGGGGCGGCCTCTAGCCACATGTGGGGAATGAGAACTGCTTTCTTAAAAGATGAAACTCTAATTAAATTGAGGAGGTGGGAGTGACTGCCTTGCTGCATCACCAGAATAATAAGGACGTGCTTATGTAGGGCTTCCCACCTGCAAACTAATGAAAAACAAAAGGAAAAACAGAAAATCTCAGGACAAAAAGCTATAGTTAAGCTTTGAGAGTTTCATGAACACTTGTCTTTTTATCAAAGTAAATGAATTGGAGGGAATCTGTATCTCAAATGGACACGTATCACTGTGCCTCGTTCTCAACTCATGGTTTATGTAGCTGGAGTGTAGGGTTTACAAAGAACCGAAGCTGGTAAAAAAAAAAGTAGCTTGTCTGGGTTTTTTTCATTATTTAATTAAAGGGAACAAATTATGTAAAACTCACATTTTGCATAATCATTTTACTTCCATTTGGGTCTCAACTGCTTCTAAAAACAGCCCAAGTGCTTGAAGAGAACTATCCAGCTGGTATTTGGTAGTAAGTTAATGTTTTTTGGTGTCTGGAAAACAAGCTGTTTCAAAAATCTCCAAAATGTAACATCACAGCAGGCACTGCTTAATATAGGCAGAACTAACAAAACAAAAATTTCATCTAAGAATGAATTTGTGCAAAAAATGTAATGAAACATTTTTCATAGCCCATAGACCTATCTTAACCTGTTACACCAGACCCGTACATCGGATCCGGGGAAAAGAATGATGTATTTAGAGGAGCCGTCAAATTTAAAATTTGGACTTGAATGCAGCCTTCGAAGGATGTAGTTCCTGAATTTGGACACACATTACGTCTGTTTTCTAACCTTGATCCGGCAAACCTTCTCAGTAAGCCACTTCCAGTGTCCTCTCTGCTCATTATAACACAACTGTCTAAATGCTGGGTGCATTGTGTGTTTCACCCTGCAGGCTATAATTTGTCCCTGACAGATTTATAATGCAGTGTGTCGGTGACAGGAATAAACCGAAGAAAAATGTACTTGTACTACAAATAACAATCCTTTTATAAGTGAAATATAGCAATAGTGTATCT